AACCCCAACCTTACGATACCTCAGATTAAAAGCAATTTACTGGGGTAAAGGAAAACGTGACATTGAAATATACATCTGGTTTTATTTCCCAGATCCAGAAATTAGTTGGGTTCCCAAGGGAGAAGTGCCTGTCTGTATGCTAATGATCTGACTGATGGCTGGTAGCTCCAGGAAGGGCATTAGCCAAAGACCAAGTTTATTTCCTTTTCCTGCCACCCAGATCCTGAAATTAGTTGGGTTCCCAAGGGAGAAGTGCCTGTCTGTATGCTAATGATCTGACTGATGGCTGGCAGCTCCAGGAAGGGCATTAGCCAAAGACCAAGCCAGGATTAGAGGGTTGGGGTTTTCTGCTTTAGTCCCACCCACAACCCCAGGGATGAAGTGGGGTGGAGAAAAGCTGAAGGTTAAGGTGATCACCAAAAGACAGAGACAGACAGACAGGAAGGGAGAAATCACCACCTAGGCCGTATGGCCTGGTGTTTTAAACAATCATGCCTAGGTAATCAAGCCTCCACAAAGACTAGGAAGAGTCCTGGCAAGTGGTGTGGTCATTAGGGGGCTGGACTCCCACATGGCCACCAGAGGTTTGAGTCCCTGCCAGCTTGCTTTCTCACTTTTCCTCTCTTTCTTTTATGGGTCAAATTAAATAATAATAATGAATAAAATTCACGCTGGGCGCGTGTGCGTGCGTGCCCAAGATCCCGAGAGGAGAATGGAGGAGAAGGGATTGCGGCGTGACCATCCCCCCTGGGGGGTGATTTCTCGCTTTCTGTCTCTATGTCTCTCTCTGTCTGTCTGGCGAGCGCACGCGCCCTACAGTGAAAATCTCTCCAAAAAAAAAAAAAAGAAAATCAAAACGATTTAGAAAACACCTAGCTGGTGTCTAGAACTGACTGCTTGCTTGATGTGTAGAGAATAACCACACCAACACATTTGGCCAGTGTTCTGTATGGTGAAACTAGCAGGGAAAAAAAATACCTTTATTTTCCTACCCAGACACAGGAAGCAACTTCAACAAATAGAAGTAGATTAAATGGGTATTGCGACACGAAACAAACAAACAAACAAACCAGAACAGTAATCCCTGCATTTCACAGCATAAACAAAAATTAATTTAAAAATTAATTAATTGGGACCAACAGCCTAATGGCTATGTCGCTGGACTCCCATGTAGCTGACCACGGGTGGAGTCCTGGACCTGGTGGCTTAAACTCATGCCGGGCGTGGGTGTGTGCATGCCCAGGATCCCGAGTGGAGAATGGAGAAGGGAGTGCGGCATGGCCATCCCCCTTGGAGGATGATTTCTCACTTTCTGTCTCTCTGTCTTTCTGTCAAGCACATGCACCCTATAGCAAAACCTCTCAAAAAAAAAAAAGGCTTTGTGTCAAACCTAAATATAAAAAGATTCTAAAAAAGAAAGTATAAGACAAAATAGCTTTGTGATCTCGAGATTAAAAAAAGAAAAGAAAAAAAAAATCCTGAACAGGACATGACAAATATTAAGAATAAAACGAAAAGCCAAACTTACTTTTCTTTTTCATCTTTAGTTTAGCTATAGGGTATGTGTTCTCGCTTGAGAGACACACACAATAGAGGGAAGGTAGAAAAGCACCTCCTAGGGAGCACGGCCACTGCCACAATCTCTTCTTTTGGGACCATCCAGTGTGTTTTCTAGGAGGCTGGGTCTGGGACTCGAACCGCAGTCATGAGGGATCCAGCTACCTTAACCACTACAGCACTGGCTGGGCCCTAAATCTACTTTTCTTAAAGCATTTGAAAGCCAACAAACAGGCAACCAATATAACATAAGAAAACATTCACAACAGATGTATCTGACTTTAAAAAAACGATAAAGTACTTCTACGACATTAAAAGTAAGAAAATAGGCAAAAGGCATCTCATATTAACTTCTCATATTAAAGACTGCTAGGTATCTTAGGAGAACTGTACATTTAAAACACAAAGATACACATTAAAAAGACACCACCAAATGTTACTGAAATTCCTTAGCTCTCCAAAAAAGTTGAACTCTCCTTTCTCTTATCAGTGAGAGAGAAGCTCATTTGGAAAGCTAAGAACTGCACAGTCCCTATACCTTACTAGCCAGAGTGCAAAACGGTATAACCACTTTGGAAAACTCAACAGTTCTTGACCTAGAAATCCCATTTCTAAGTATCCTTTTTTTTGGGGTGGGGGGGAGAGGTTTTCGCTATAGGGTGCATGCGCTCGCCAGACAGACAGACAGAGAGACAGAGGCAGAAAGCGAGAAATGACCCCCCAGAGGGGATGGTTACGCTGCAGTCCCTTCTCCTCCATTCTCCTCTCCGGGTATTGGGCAAGCACGCACACGCGCCCGGCGTGAGTTTTAAAGTTTTAAGCCACCGGGTCTGGGCCAGGAACCGCGGTCGACTACGTGGGAGTCAAGTAGCCATTACGCTAACTGCTGGTTCCCTCTAAGTATCCATTTCTCAATCTCCAAGAAACATGGACACATATGATCACAAAAAGAAATGTACAAGAATGTTTCATAGCAACTTTATTCATAATAACCCAACTGGAAACAACTTAAAAGCCCATCACAAGGAGAATGGAATATACTAAATAAAAAGGGGCAAAATACTGATACACGCAGCATGGATGAATTTCACGCAAATTATGCTGAAGGAAGTCTGACAAAATGGGTACATACTATATTTTATATGAAGTTCTCCAATAGGCAAAATATGTGTGTTTACGGAAATAGAAATAAAGATGAGAGTCAGAAATAGGGAAGAAGCTGGGGAAACATTTCTGGGATAATGAAAAAATGTACTTTTTAAATGAACCCTCTCCCCTCCCTCTGGGCCAGGATCTACCCCGTCTCGGCTGGACCAGATCCTAGGCTATGCTTTCATTTAGAGTGCTTAGGGAGGTCCTCGGACATGAATCCAGGACCTTCCTCATCCGGGTGCAGTTGTTTTATCTCTGCACCACCGACTGGTCGGAAAATGTATTTTACGTCTTGCTAGGCGTTACACGGTGCGTGCCAAAGCCATTGCACTGCACCGTGAGTGAAACTTTAATTCTGAGAAAGGGTATGCGCCTCAGTACAGTGCACAACGCCCGGTAGCAGCAGGTGCTGCGCTTAGAACGGCACCAGAGAACCGACCGCGCCCTAAGGGATGAAGATGAGGGTCAGCCAGGGATCTAGCGCGGATCCTGCCGCCTCCCACTGGGAAGAACTGGCTGGGACCGGACGGCTGCACTTAGGACCCCGGCGCCCGCCCCTCGCCGAGGCCAGCCCCTTCCGCTCTCACAACGTTCAGCCTGCGTCCGGAACTGGAATGGCTTCGCCCAAAGCCGGATACTAGGCAGGCTGGCTTTCCGACACACACAAACGAGCTACCATCGCACTCTTTCAAAGCTCGACTCTCAAACGTACCTATTCTCAACAATGCCCAGTCTGCCTTTTGCATATCTTTTATTCACCCCACCAGGCGCAATGGTAGCGTCCGCCTAGGTTGCAGGGGACGGGGGTGGGATGGGGGAGTGCACACTATTGGGGGGGCGGAGATTGCTGTATGCATCAAAACAAATACCCCCTCCGTTGCAAAAGCAATAACCAAGTCATTCTAGGAAAAAAAAAAAAAAAAGTTGGCAGAGGATCAGCGATCTTCCTCTGCAAGCAATAAGAACCAGCCTAAAAGATATTTTCTCTCTTTCTTACTCCCCCCTCATCGGGTCAGGAGTGAGCTGCTCCGACAAAAAGAAACCGGAAATGCTACTGCCAGTGGCAGAAATGTAAATGTGGAGCCAAACAATAACCGAGTTACGGGGCCTCTCGGGCCGGGAAGGTCTTCCCTGCCTCGCGAGCAAACCTCTGGTTTATCACTTTCCACTCCCACGGTTGACAGTCTTAAATTGGATTTTCTACATCCAGCGGAGCCAGGGGCCGGCTGGAAGGATCACTCCAGGAAGGACAAAGGTCCGGAAGTTGTGGACCTTAGCCGCGGCTTCTCTGATCGCCCCAAATAATCACTTCGGAATGGAGCCTCAAGTTACAGTAGGATGCTCTAGGCTCTAAAATTTCGAGCCGTGAGTTCCTAAGTTTCGAGACTCGACAGTCTCAGACGCTCAATGCTTTAGGCTTCTTATTTCAGCGCTTTCCGCACACCCAGCACTGGGTGAGTGGGTGGGGGGAGTCCCCTTTAGGGCGGCTCGAGGTTCTTTATAAGATTCCCCTGCCGCCCAAGTGTTCAGTTTTTGAATTCGACTGGTCCTCCCATTCTCATTATCTATACCCAGGCCTCCCAACATTGCTTTCATCCTGCCGAGCCAAGCTTCCATCCTCTGCCCCCCGAAACTCGCTACGTCTCCACTGCCCCACCCCCAGTCCACACGATTCTCCCCAGCCGAGAGCCCGTGACTCAGACACGACTCATCAGGCTCAGTCAGGAGCTTACCCGACCCTCGAGGGAGCGTGTCACTGTCCTGAGAAGCACGCTCCGAGACCGGACACCAGGAGACCCCAGAGTCCAGTGGCCACCTGCGCCTAGGATGCTGGCTCTGGACTTGAGCTCAAAAGTTTTAGCGCCAGTCTTGAGCACATGGGAGGGGAAAGTCCCAATCCCAGCAACCCCCGCGAGGCTCCTGGCACAAAGCTGGACGGCCGCCATGACAAGTAAGGGCAAGTAATTTGCCTGCCGGCAGAGGCAAAAGAAATGGAGAGAGGAGGGTGAGGAAAGTCAGGATTTTTCACATTGGTGCGAAATATCGATTTGTTCATTTTAGCGTGGGAAACGGGTACAGGCCAGAGACTTGAGAGAATAATTGCTGGAAACATTTATTTTAAGTTTTGCTATAGGGCTCTTGTGCTCGCCAAAGAGACAAAGTGAGAAAGCACCCCACCCCCCAAAGTGGGGATGGCTATGACGCAATCCCATCTCCTTCATTCTTTAGACATTTGGGGCACGTCCAGTGTGGTTTTCAGGCTGCAGGGTCCGGGAGTCCAGCCGAGCTGTTGGCCATGTGGGGTCTAGCCGCCTTAACCACTAGCTCGACCGGTGGAAACCATTTTGGAGAACTCTGGCCACTGTGTCAAATATGAAGGGTGGAAGAAAGGTTTTGCATTTGCTCTTGAGTCTGGAACACTGCTCTGTCATAGCGGCATGGTTTCTTCTCATAAACTAAAATGTCACTTTTTAGGGAGGTTTTCCCAAACATTCCAATCTAATAGGTACTTTATATCACATCTTGTTTAATTTATTTCAGGGCCCCTATCAATATCTGAACAGATTTATTTGTTCATTGTCTTCAATACACGACAACATAAACTTTATTAGGGGAGAACATGTCTACTAGTATCTTATTTTCTGTTGTACTCCAGAGTTCCTTGTACAGTGCTAGGCTACGTAGCAAATAAGAACTCAGCTTTAAATATTTATCGAGTTAAAAGAGACGGGTCTGAAGAATTTGGCAGAGGTGCAAAATGAGATACAAAAAAGGTGCAAAACCTGTAAAATCATATACAGTGCTCGCGCCCTCTGCAGGCAAGAGGGGGTAGGTGCTTTAAGAATTACCGCGGGAAACAGTAGGAGGAGCTCGCCAAGGCAGAAACGCTCGGACTACAACTCCCAGCAGCCAACAGGAGCCCAAGGGCCTGATGGGAATGGGAAACCTGACTTGTTGAGTCCGCGCCCCGCCCCTCCATGGTCGCCCGCGAAATCCGATCGGGGATGTGGAGGTCCAATCAGAAGGTGGGTTCAAATCCCGCGAGAGAAAGTGCGAGTAGCGACTCACCGTGCTAAGGGAGGCTGGATTTGTTTCATTGGTGTCCCCTGATCGCCTCGCCTTCGTGGGGTCTCCTGCCCCCTCCCGGAAGAGGAAGGAAGGTACTGGTGGGTTTTTCAATAACTGCTTACGGATCCCTGAGAAGTTTGGATCCCTCCCGGCTGCTCCGCGGGGCAGGCCGCGGGTAGCCAGAGGAAAGAGGGTTACCGGCCGAGGCCAGTGCCTGCTCCTCTTCTGCAGTATGAAGACGCAGGAGGCGCCACTGTTAGCTCCGGACTGCCTTCCTGCAGATCAGGTCCCAGCTGCTGCTAGTCTCCCTGCCCAGCCTTCCCCGATGGATGAAAACACGGACCCTGAACTAATGCCACCGCCACCCGATGGCGATGATCCTCCTCGGCTGTCCCCCGAACCCGTGGCTAGCTCAGCTGCCTCCCCGGAGCTCGGGGAGGTGGACCTAGCGGTCCACCTGGAAACGCAACCTGGTACTCCTAGTGAATTGAACCCTCCAATAGAGGAGCAAGAACTTTCCGAAAATGCGAACCTTCCTGCAGAAGAAACGAACGGAATGGAGTTAGGGTCTGGAGAAGCCGTGGAAGATGGGCCTGAGGAACCCGCTCAAGAGGATGAGGGAGACATGTAAGTGGTGATGGAAGTTGACTCTGGAATCTGAGGAGGTTGGCAGTGTGAGATAGACTTTATCCACCAGTTCTCAGCCCCACTTCTCCAGGCTCATTTCCCCTCTGGAGACCCAGGTGTGTTGTCCTCCCCATCTTCTTTCCAGCACTTGGAACTACAGCTTCTCCCAGATACCTCGATTTCTCAGTGGATCCTGGTCAGAGTTCAGCACCCAACCTGAGAACTTCTTGAAAGGCTGTAAATGGTAAGTAAGAATAATCGGGCAAGGGGATAAACACCCCCAGGAGCTTCACCTTAGAACACTGTTATCTGGGAGAAGGATCCACCAGGAATGGAGGGAAGCAGTCAAGAATCTCTCTTGAGGGCTGATTCCATGGCCTGGTAGTTAAGGTGGCCAGATTCCACATGGGCAGCCCAGCAGTTTGAATCCCTGGGTGCATGTCTTGAAGGCCCTATGCAAGATGGCAAATCATGCTTCGAATCCTCACAGGAGGGAAGAGATGGAGGAAAGGGAGTGCAAGTGACCATTCCTCATGAGGGATGCTTTCTCCTCTCTATTGCTCTCTGGCGAGCCCATGCACCTAATAGAAAAACAAACAAAAACAACACAAAACCTCTTTGGAATGAGCTTAAATTCCATGTAGAACTATGTATTTCCCACTTCCCTCAACGCAGGAGGTTTCCTACCCTAGAATGGGCTCAGCTGTAGGTCTACACTTGGAAAGCATGGAGCTGTCCACTTTTCTAACTCTTTCCACTTTCTAGGGCCCCTGATGGTTCCTGCATCTTGACTAATAGTGCTGATAACATCCTACGGATTTATAACCTGCCCCCAGAGCTGTACAGTGAGGGAGAAGAGGTGGAATATGCAGAAATGGTAAGGATAGGGGCCATTCTGCCCCGTCACTGGACACTGCACATGTAGGTGGAGAAAGTATAGTCCACAAACAGGACTTTCCTTCATCATATATTTCTTTGTTTTCTTTTTTATTTTTAAATAATTATTTAAGTTTTTATTTATTATTTATTCATTTGTTTATTTCAGTTTGACCAGAGAGTGACGGAGGGAGAGAGAGAGAGGGAGAGAGAGTGAGAAAGCAAGCTGCCAGGTCCAGGACCCGAACCATGGTTGGCCATGTGGGAATCCAGTGCCTTTAACCACCATTCCACCTGCCGGCCCCCTTCATCATACATTTCCACATGTCGCATTTTCTGCCCTGAATTCTTAAGTCATTTCGAGAGAGGGTTGTCTCTTTTTGTAATCTATCTATTTGTTGTTATTTTTTTAAAAGATTTATTTATTTATTCGTTCATTCATTCATTTTAATTTGATCAGAGGGAGACACAGACAGAGAGGAAAGTAAGAAAGCAAACCACCAGGTCCAGGGCTTGAACCTGGTCAAGTCATGGTCAGCCATGTGGGAGTATCCAGCGCCTTAACCACCACACCACCTGCTGGTCCCTATTTGTTGTTATTTTCAAACTGCTGGGTCTGGGATTTGAACTGCAGTGGGCCACAGGGGAATCCAGTGCCTTAACTACCATGCCACCTAGTGGCCCCTGTTTGTCTCTTTTTTAGTCAGGAATATTTATCTTCTATAAAAAAGTAGTGGATTTCTCAAGGCAGTGTTTAATTTATAAACAGGTATTTATTGAGTAATTACCAATATATCAGTCACTGTTTGGTGCTAGGATAAAGTGGTGAACAAGACAAAGAGTTCCTTTGCTTTCTTATTAGAGATAGACAACAAGCATATAAACCAATAAGTAATCAAGACCATGAGAGGTTATGATAAATGCTCTGAAGGAAATTAACAGAATGATGAGAGAGGCTTACTAGAGGATACCACTTTAGATAAAATGGTCAGGAAGGAGCTTTCTTTTATTTTTCTTTATTTGGAGAGGTTTTTGCTATAGGGTGCGTACGCTCGCCAGACAGACAGAGACAGAGAGACAGCGAGAAATCACTCCCCAGGGGGATGGCCACGCGGCAATCCCTTCTCCTCCATTCTCCTCTCGAGATCTTGGGCATGCACGCACACGTGCCTGGTGTAAGTTTAAGCCACTGGGTCTGGGTCTCGAACCGTGGTTGACTATGTGGGAGTCCAGTAACATAGCCATTACACTAACTGCTGGTCCCAGGAAGGAGCTTTCTGAAAAGGAGGCATTTGAGCTGAGACCTTCAGCCATGTGAAAAAACACAGAAAAAGCATTCCAAGAGGCAGTGATAGTATAAAAACCCAGAGCTGGGAAAGAACTTTATGTGTTCAAAGAATGGCAGGGGGGCCAGCAGTTAGTGTAATGGCTATGTCGCTGGACTCCCATGTAGTTGACTGCAGTTCGTGTCCCAGGCCCGGTGGCTTAAACTCATGCCGGGCGTGTGTGTGCGCGTGCCCAAGATCCCAAGAGGAGAATGGAAGAGAAGGAATTGCGGCGTGGCCATCCCCCCTGGGGGGTGATTTCCCACTTTCTGTCTCTCTCTGTCTCTCTGTCTGTCTGGCAAGTGCACGTGCCCTGTAGCAAAAACCTCTCCAAAAAAAAAAAAAATGGCAGGGGGACCAGTAGTTGGAGTAATAGCTGTGTCACTGGACTCCCATGGAGTTCGAGTGGTTTGAGCCCTGGACCCGGTGGCTTAAACTCACACCAGGTGCGTGTGCATATATGCCCAAGATCCTGAGAGGAGAGTGGAGGAGAAGGGATCACGGCATGGCCATTCCCTATGGGGGGTGATTTCTCACTTTCTGTGTCTCTGCCTCTCTCTGTCTTTCTGGTGAGCGCAAACACCCTATAGCAAAAACCTCGCCAAAAAAAAAAAAAAACAAAAAACGGCAGGAATACAAGTGTGTCTGGACTCAGGCCAGTGAGGGCGAAAGTAGGGTGAGGATGGAGAAGTGACTAGCAGCCATGTTATATTGGGTCTTTTGAGTTTGGCGTTTGGGAAGCCATGGGTGAGTTTTACTAATTCTTTCAAGTTTTTATTTTTATTTGTTAGGGATTTTTGCTATAGGCACGTACATTTGCCAGAGAGACAGAAAGTGAGAAGTCGGTCCCCAAGGGGATGCCCACACCACAGTTTCTTCTCCGTTCTCCTCTTGGGCACACACAGGCCCAGTATGAGTTTCAAGCCTGTGGGTCTGGGACTTGAACTGCTGGGAGTCCAACGCCTCAACCATTACACCACCTACTGGCCCTTTTTTTTCTTTTTAAGATTTGCTATAAGGCATATGTGCTTACAGGGATGGGGGGAGTAAGAAAGCATCCCCCAGGGCTGGTGGGCCACAGTGTAGATGGCCACATTGCAATCCTTTCTGCTTTATTCTCCTCTGGGGATTTTGGGAACACAATGCCTGGCATGTCTTTCAAGCTTATGCTTCTGGACTTGAACAAAGTCAGCCATGTGGGATCCAGCTGCCTTAACCACCACGCCACTGGCTGGCCAATTAAGTTTTATTTCATTTTATCCATGTTGGAGAGTGGATGCACACACATCAGAGAGAAAGTGGAGGGCACCTTCAACAGGGTCTTGTCATGCTGTGGTTCCCTTCTCAAAGCCCTTTAGCTTATCAGAATCCTGGGCAACGCATTCATCAGTCATGGTTCTAGGCCTACCCAGGGATCCCAACCCACCAATGACCATGTGACTTCCAGCACTGCAGTTCAGCTGTCCACCTACTGCACCATCATGCTGAACCAGGAGAGTTTTAAAAAGTCAGAGTAGGAGGTCCAGCACGTAGCATGGTAGTTAAGGTGCAGGATTCCTACACGGTTGACCATGGTTTGAGTCCTGGATGTGACAGCTTGCCTTCTCACTCTCTCTGTCTGGCGAGTGTGTGTATCCTATAGCAAATTAAAAAATAATAACAAGTAAAATTAAATAATTCTTTTTTTTCAGTAATTCCTTTTTTTAATGTACTTTTTTTTTTTGAGAGAGTTTTTTTGCTGTAGGGTGCGTGAGCATGCCAGAAAGACAGAGAGAGACAGAGAAACAGAAAGTGAAAAATCACCCCCCAGGGAGGATGGCCACGCCACAATCCCTTCACCTCCCGGGCACACACATACACGTGCCCAACGTGAGTTTAAGCCACTGGGTCTGGGGCTTGAACCGCAGTCGACTACATGGGAGTCCAGCGAGATAGCCATTATGCTAACTGCTGGTCCCTCCCCCCCTTTTTTTTTAAATAAGTAAGAATGGGGCCAGCAGGTGACATGGAGGTTTAGGCATTGGCTCCCATATGGCCAGCTGCGTGGTTCGAATCCTGGACCCGATGTCTTGAAAATCAACACTGGGCATTACTTCAAATGCGTGTGCATGCATACCCAAGATCCAAGGAGGAGTGTGGAGGAAAAGGGATGGCAGTGTGGCTATTCCCCTAGGGGGTGATTTCTCACTTTTCCTCTCACTCTCCTTGACTCTCTCTCTCCAGTGAACATGCATGCTTTAAGGCCAAAATCTCTAAAAAAAAAGAAAATCACACTGTACTTGCGTGGGTGTGTGCCCAGAATCCCAAGAGGAGATGAGGAGAAAGGATTGCGGCATGGCTATCCCCTTGAGTGAGGGTGTGATTTCTCACTTTTTCTGTCTCCCTCTTGCTCTTTCTCTCTGGTGAGTGCACATGCTCTGTAGGAAAAACAAAATAAAAAAGTAAGAGTTGGACCAGCTGGTGATATGGTGGTTGAGGTGACTAGATGCCACATAGCCAACTGCACAGTTTGGTCCCAGACCCGATGGCTTGAAAATCGTATCAGGTATGTACATGTCCATACCCAAAATCCTGAGAGGAGAATGAGAAGGAATTACAGTATCTCCCTCTGGGGGTATTTTCTCACTTTCTCTCTCTAGTGACCGCATGCTTCCTATAGCAAAAAAAGAAAAAAAAAAATCCCCCTTTATTCATGATATATGCATGTGTACCTGAGAGAGAGAGAGAGACAGGAAGAGAGGAGTGCTCTCCACAAGGTCTGTCATGCCACAGTCCCCATCCTCTAGTCCTCCAGCCCATTAGATCTTGGATGTTTGCATGTATGTCCTGCATGTTTACAGGCTAACTGGGTGGGCTGGGGATTCAAACTGCAGATGCCAGGTGGGATCTGCTGCCACTTTTTTTTTTTTTTTTTTTCCCAGAGAGTGTGTGTGCGCTCTCTAGAGAGAGAGAGAGAGAGAGCAAGAGAGAGAGAGAAAGCACCCCTCCCTCCCCAATGGGGAATGATCATGTGACACTCCCGTTTTTTAATATGTAATTATTTTTTATTTAATTTTATTCATCGTCATTTTATTTTATTTTTTTCTCAGAGGACGGTTCTTCAGTCCTTAAAGATTCGGCTCCTTACATGAGCTTTGGTGGAGGGGGTAGGGCAGCACCCGCAGGTCTAAATCGGGGTGGGGCATTCGGTCCTTCCAAGCTTCATGAGATGGGTTCCTGACCACTTTGGTATGAATGGCACAACTCACACAGTAATGCGGCTGCACATACAGCTTGGGGAGCACAGGCCTTAAACACTCGCCTTGGAGATGTCCCTGACGGCTGCGGCTTCTGCTGTGTTTCGGATGATGAACTTAATAGCCTTGTCCTGGGGCGTGCATCAGGCACAGTTGATGCAGCAAATAGGCTGCTTGTGGCCTCGGCCCTTTTTGACATGGTGATTGTTCCTTCTTTTCTTCATCATCTTGGAAGTGAGGCCACAAGAGACTCAGCATTATTTTCAAGCCACTGGTCTGAGTCTTGAGCCACAGAGTTGGCTATGTGGGACCCAGCTGCTTTAACCATCATCCCACAGGCTGCTGCAGAATCCAGCTTCTTTTGAGCAGTGCATTGCCAGCATGTCATGGACCCTGCCAGCACATGGATATTTGGCAGACAGGTTCAAGCCATAGCACCT